GAATGTCACCATTGACGGCATTCGTCACGAATGCCGTCACGAACAGCACTGCATGCATCCGGGCCGGAACCGGATCCCAGCACCCGTTCGGGGATCAGTCTTCGGACCCTGGAGCCTCTTCTCCTACGAGTTTGGATTGAGTCAACGAACTAAGTATAGAGAGCTCAGAAACGAATCGCGGCACTGGAATTCGGGATGATTAAGTCAATTGAAGAACTAAAAGGAGCTCGTTCAACACGTGCCCTCAGACCGATCGACCGACCGACAGACTCCGACGGGAACCACCTAGTCTTTTAGCTCCTCCCGGAAAGAAATTCCCTATGAACTCTACTCCCGGTTGAAGAGTCGGAGTCTGGTCTTTGCTAATTGGCTCATCGCTCCGATTGAGCCGCGATTGGATCCGATCCCTCGCTTGCATGCGTTAATTTTCATCGATTTCGCATTCATGAATTTCCGACGACTCCCGCATCGTTCGGACGCCTGGCCGGCCCAGGAGCCGATCGAACTCCGAGCGTGTCGGGCACGCGGGGGAACCGGAGGGTCCCCACAAATCGCGTCCGTGAGTAGGGGAGAGAGATTTCTGCCTAAACCTGGCAGAACAATAGCGACTTTGAGAGCGCGTCCCGCAAGTGTGCGAGGGAGCTCGCGGCAGCAAGAGCGGCCTCGAAAGGACCGGGGCGTAAGGCAGATAACTCGATATCAACGTGAGAGCGCAGAGGGACCGTTGGAAGCAGCAAGTGAGACCGTTAAGGACGACGCCCCAGGACGATGAAAAGAAAAAAAAGAAGAAGAGCAAGAGATACGATAGGGACAGTGGATGAGCCACGCAGTCACGCTGTAGGTAGCGCATCTAAGCGGATGGAAAAGACAACGCGGACGACACGGACGTCAGCGGATAGCGGACAAGAGGGTCGTTCTCCCCACCCTGGTAAGTTCGGCGACTTTCAGCATCATCTCCCGAGCGCTGCTTGAGCGCACGGAGCGCGTCGACCGTAATGATCTCGACAAGTTCTCACTTCCCAAACTGAACTTTTCTAACTCGCTCAATCAACCCGAGCATTGTTCTTCCATGAACAAAGGAATTTTCCGCAGCCATTGAAGGATTACATCGTCGGCGGACGGATAAATCGTGATGGGAAGACGGAGGAGCAATCCTTCCGTTGCCTGGATCGATCCCTCGACAATTTCGCGGTACTCCTGCATTCTGGCTTACGACCCACGCGAGTACCGTAGCGGTGGCGACGACTTCCTCTGCGAACCGTGATCACCCTTTTCAGGCCTGGTACCCTAATTCGCCATCCGTGACATGCTTAAGCTGAGCCGCCAACGCCGCTCAAGAGCCGCGGCGCCGGCATCGATCAGAGTACGGCATGCCTTGTACGCTTGATTTACAGGCCGCGAGCGCAACCGTCGCCGCTCGGCCGAGAACGCTGTCGTAACGGATGTGTCTGATCGACGTTATTAACGACGGAAGGTACTCGTTCATCTTACCTTCTTAAGAAACGCAACCTCACATTCGTCCACTCGTTTCTTGCCGACATGCCGGTGATGGAAAGACGGCTGTCCTCTTTCGGCGTACAATCGCCAGTCGAATAGGAACGTGGGACACAGTCGAGTGAGACCATCCAGTGCCATCACCATGTTGACTGTCTGCTCTGATCACACGATTGATGGTTGAATCGATCGTCGCTCGAAACGAGCGAGCCTGTCGATTCGACTCCGCCTTTGCTCTTTGGACGTTCTTGATTGAGTTGGTGGCACTCGAGGACTTTTTCACGAACTTCCCCCTCCGAAGACACCATTCATATCAATCATCCAACGAATGAGGCGTTTTGCGCATGTTTCGCCACAGTCCTGGCGGAGGAGTGCCTCACGCGACACGATCGAATCACACTATCACGTTGCTTGGATCACGTTGTAAAGGTCGCGGAGCCAGATGGATGACGAGAGACTCCTGAATGGCGGACAAATAAACTTTCGCAGGCACGTGAGTCGTAAACACGTTTCTGATGTCGCGGTGTTTATTATTGTTATCTTGATGTCAAAACAATGAACCGATGATTAGCGACTAGGCGCGCAGAGCACAACCGGTAAGAACATAGCACATCCTCAGGCGGCTGTGTTGAGACATGAACTGAGGACGAAGCCACCGCATCCCGGCGTGGACGGCGAAAGGAAAGGGCGCTCAGCTCGGAGCCCCCACGTCCTTCTCCTCGTCGCCGCCGACGGCCGCTGGAGCCGCGTCCTTCCTCCTCCTCGTCGCCGTCTTCTCCTCCCTGCCGCCGCGCTCCTCCTGGCTCTCCTCGCAAAGGAAAAAGATACGACTACGTCGCCAGAGTTCCGACCGGATGTGACGTCAACGATCGATGCGCCTCCCGTAGCGCCATCTGCTGAGCTCGGGGTCCCACGCAGAAGAGCGAGAGAATAGCTTCCCTGACGGAAGCAGCGGAGGCCACGGCAGCCGCGGCTGCCTCCCCAATGATTTAATTTGCTCAGAGTTGAGAAGAAGAGAAGGAACGTCGTCGAAGACACCGCCGATTCCGGGGTTCATGGGAGGCAGGGAACTTGTAGGAGACCATAGGCGAGAGGAAGCGCGGCAAGTGAGTTGAGAGCACGCCTAAATGCGGAAAGACGAGATTCCCGACGTAGAGCCCGCTGGCAATAGCCCAACTGAATGAGCTGCTCATCGGTGCTCCAGGATCCTGGACCTTCTGACCCGAAGGATTTCCCAATCGAACGTCGATCTTTTTTCCCCTTTTTCTCTTGAAAAGCCGGCGCTCCTCAAATCCGGCAATGCTGAGCTCCTCACAGCTGGGGCATTCCCGTGCTCCTCGCCCCTAGATCCCTGACCTCCGTCGTTACCTTTTCTTCCCTTTTGAAGCTCTCTTATCACAGTCTTGGCGCTCGAACTCTTCCGTTTTCTCCCTTTCCTCTCCCCCATGCTTCCCCGGTCACCCGACTCCTCCTCTCCCCACTCCGGCTATTTTCTCGTTTTTCATTCTCCCCGAGTAGTTCCCCCTCTTGCTCCTCGCCGACTCCCTCCGCGGACCTCATGCCCCCTCTTCCATTCTCGAAACTCCTTGTCGCTCTAGTCTTTTCCTCTCCTATTCCTGCCTCGTACCCGCCTCTTAATCCGATCATTTTACCATTTCCATTCATTCGCTGTCACCGGGTAGAGGCTCCCTCTCGAGTTTTTCCCTTTTCCTTCTTCCACCCACTACTCAATTCTACTTCCCGGGTGACATTTGACTTCAAGACTCCGAGCGAGTCCGGTAGTCACTAGACCGAAAAGCCTTCCAGCGACCCCAGCTCATCGTCGTTCTCGAGAGACGCGCGAAGACGCCTACGACGCGGACGCTTTGAATTCAGTGCCTCGCTCAAATGAGGGTTTCTTTCACGCGAAACGCCCGCAGCGTTCTCTTAGTCAAAACAACCTTTCAGTCGCGAGTTCTGACGCGACGTGAGCTCGGATGCTCTTAAGAGCAAACTAAAAAGAAGGGCTTTGAGCTCGTGGCCACTCTCTGCTAAACTGACTGACTGACTGACTGAGGCGCCGTCAGAGAGGAGAGAAACCGTGGCCCGCCTGTGCGTGAGCTGCGTCAGAGAGGCGGGCAGCGAAGACGACGACACGATGGGTGAGCTAAACGGGATAGAAAGTTGTTCCCTCAGGAAATAGATTTTTTGCATTCCTCCAAGAGACGGTCCCGTGCGCATCATTCGGGACTTCTTATGGGGTAGGCCTCTACCCACTTGCGGGCGAAAGTTGAGGGGCTCCATAGATGTATGTTCGCTGTCCGCTTCATCGTCCGATCTGAGCTCCGCCGCCGCTGATAGCAGCAAATTTCATTTCCTCGATGCATCTGGCCTCTTTTATGAGCGCGCTGTCCGCTTCCGCGGGCTTTCCGCGGAAAATGTTCCGCTCCTGAATCCATCAGACTTCGGCTGGGTGGTCGCGCGCCCTCCCGGTCTGGCAATCCGTTCCCGGCATGACACTTATCAGTCCCAGAGATCCATACCACATCGCGGTCCTCGTGGTTCTGGAATTCCATGCGGCAGGCGAAACCACCTCCGATCTGAGGAGTTACGTGCAGAAAGCCTCTGCACAGCCCGCGATACTTCCTCGACAACTGAGCGGCGGAAATCCCGAAGACTTCCACGGAGACGCCCTTCAATGGCGACTGATGCAGCTGCTGCCACTCAATCAAAACAAACTAGACGGCGGCCGACCTCCTCAGCTGCCAGTCAGTGAGCCCACAACTAGCAAGCGCGCTCTCCTTCTCTACGTCGGGCCGTCCCAGCTAAGAGCTAACCCGTTGTTCGGGGCGGCAATTTCTTGACTACTAGTTGCTGGTTTTCACACCGTATGAGAGCACATTCTCCTCAGCGAGTGCTCTCATCCGAGATCTAGGCCATGTCGTAATGCCGCAAGGTTGTACAGTTGGTTTGGGTAGCTCTTCTACAACTGCTTGTATTGTATTTGTAGTGACGGCCGGAGGAGATGGGGGAATGAGGGGGACAGAGACGGGCATCTCCCAAACGTCCACATATACATTCAATTGATTCGCGATTTTCCGCCGGAGGCACATGGATCCAACCTCATGATTGCTGATTAGTCAACACTGCCAGTACGCTAGCTCCCTCAGTCTCCTTCGTTTACTCACTCACAAGCTCCTCTGCAGCGTACCGACTCGCTGCAGTCACAACCGTTGCGTGGACGACTGCATGACATGCTGTAACGAGTCCCGCAAACGGAGCTTGGGCTCGGAACAGCCCTGGCGTGTGGAATGCGCCCAAGGACGCTTCCGTAGACCGCCACGACATTCTTCCTATTACATAGGGGCATTCGCACTATTGGCAGGGGGGGCGTCTCATTTGTTACAGAATAGTTTGCTGCACGAAACGGATGCTTGACCGGGGCAGGCCGCTATCATGGAGCTGAGGACGCGCGCTGAGCACTAAACTGAGCGCGCTCGTAGGCGAGCCTAGAGTCGTACACTCACCTCCGACGACGTGAGGTAGATTCGTGAGTCTGCGCTTTCGAGAGAGCTTTGCTTCAATAAGGCATGGGTCTGGTCTATGTTGGGCACGGACAGATGTCGGCTCGTGAGACCACTTCGCTCGTGACTGAGAGGTCCTCCTCTACTCGCCGACGGGAGGGTGCCTACGTAAAAAAGATCAATGAGTCGTGGCGATTCCGTGCGGCTCCACTCCCGGTAGAATGTTCACAGGAGCGGCTGAAGACGAAGGATACATATGCGGACTCCCTACAGAAATCGGGAGTGTCGAGGTGCAATGCCACTTACGAGAATCGAAAGATCCTCGATTGTAAGAGTTGGTGGGCGTCACATCCCCTGATGGCTTCTTCAGGGCTTGTTCCTCCCGGCGGATCTGCTCGAGCTCCGAGTGGACCTCTCTCATCAACGACACTGAAATAAATTGAGCCTCTTTAATGACGTTCATAGTCAGCCCGAGTGCATATATTTCTCTAAAGTGATATATTGTTCCGATTGCTGCTGCGCTTGGCGGCCATATTGGTAAGTGAGCGAACCACTACAGGACTACATGAGGGGTGATGGGAGATATATCTGTCCCGCTCATCCAATGATTCCAGGATGCGGACGAAGGGGAAGGATTCACGAATCTCATTTGAGGAAGTCTTCGCTGAAAACCTGTGAATCTCCCGGCAGCGGGAGCTTTTGAGAATGGGTTAGATGCCTCATGCAGGTATAGAAAATTCCCAGCGCCAGGATCACGTACCGTGTAAATAGAGGTTTTATTATAGTATATTATCATAATAACGAGTTCCATTGTCACTGATACGATCATAATCACACATTATGCGAGCCGTTGCCGGAGCATCATCTGGAAACGGCATTCCCCATTTCTAGGAGGGAGGATCCCGAGAGGATCGAATGCTTGGGGAGCCAAACGGTCCCTCTCGTTCCCGGATTCAATTGCGTTATCAGCACGATCACGAAATCGGTCTGGTAACGTTTTGATAGGAATGATCAGAACAGAAAATCGAGAACGATAACCGTGCTTAATCGGTGCGCGCGGCACAGGAGCGGGAGTCTCGCCTTTCTAATATGTGCTCTTCCCGAGCGACTCGATTCCCCAAACGCCCGAAACAAGCATTCGTCTAGTTTGGAGACTCCGGCTCCTTCAGCCTACTATTCGAACAGCTGATAATGATCATGGAACCTTCGCTACCTAGTCCTCCGATCCGAGCAGCCGATAATATCCAAAATTTTAGGAACGACGAGTCGAGGAGAACAGCTGACTAGCCAGGTTCCCGGCGAGATTCCGGGCCGACGAATTTCATAGCGAAACGACCGGGATCGCCATGAATTGGACCTGGTTGGTGATTCGGTTCGATGGGCTGCCGGAAAACCCTGGTCGCCACTGCCGATCTCCACGCAGATCGTCAAACCTCTCCGTCTTCCTCAGCTATTCCCACGTTTTTCTACGGCTTCTCGAGATGCCGAATCTCCTCGAGATCAAGAGGAAGTAAGCTCCTCTGTAATCCCTTTCCCCTCCAGGGAAGTTTCATGGGCTCACCAGACCTCTCGGCGTACCAATGTCAGAGGTCTAAATCAGAATCGGAGAACGCGGGTTTCGCATCGCAGGCATAAAGTCTTATGGAATACGTCAAAGAGCATATGAAGGGTGGATAATCCAGAGACCGGGACATGCTGCCGTCATGGGAGCTCTTGGAGGAGTTCGAAGGTATCAAGATGGAGCATCCTGTTGCTTATCTCTAAAGTGGCCGAAAAAAGCCTCTGACGAGTGAGACTGTGCCGGAACCTGGAGCAAGGGAGACGTCCGACGATTAAGTTAAGGGAAAATTTCTCACTCAAAACTACATCCCGTTCCACTGTCTGGATTAGGGTCACACTGCTCCGAATCGTCTTAGGCGATCCATCCACTTGCTGCTATTAAACGACACACAATGTACCGGTTGAATTTCTGTTCCAATCGGGAAAGTTGAGCACGTCCTCGAAGAACAAGATTCAAGAGTCGATAGACTAGAAGGTAACTTCGATAAGGTCTCCATGAGCCGTTCTTCCCAAAGCACCGCGTTCTCGTATTGTTCCGAGATATAAACCGCTCGTTCCCGATATGTTTCAGGCTCGAGGGGTCCTCGAGTACCGCAGTACGTCGTGTTTCCCGTTCAAACGTTCCATCTCCCTCTTTGTCTAATGTTGAATGAAGAATCCTTCCTGGCGGGGTATCCGCTACTCGCTCCTTCTCCGCTCGTGAATCGGATGTACTTCGGCCATTTCCCTCCCATGCGCGATTTCCCGTGAATGTGATGGAAGCCGGCAGTATTCCGATCAGGCAGAGAGCAACTCGTCCGCCTGGCACAGGAGAGCCGCGTCCCTCAAAGCAGTGCTCAGACGGTCTAATGTCTAGTCCACCGAGGACATTAGACTCTCCAGGCTCGAACTGCTCGATGCATCAAGCCGCCGAACTGTCGCAGCTGATCTTAATTCTCATGAAACATCTGTGATGTATTGCGCATGGAGACGAGTGAACTTTCGATATGATGTCTCACATGGAGGTCTCTCGGCCGGGAATGACCGATCGAAGAGGGCATCAAAGCACGCGGACGGCTCGATTAGTCCCAACTGCAGGGCTCTATACTCCATGCGCTCCGAGGTCGGAACTGCCGTCCTCCGTGACTTATCCGCAGCACCAGGGATATCTAATGCAACTTCCGACACACACATATATTTGCATAAGATCGAAGATATCGTGATCGATCAAGTGAATCACTGGCTATTGGGCTAATGATTGATTCAGAAGAAGTTACTGCGAAGAGAAGATGACCTCCGCATGCCGCCTTTGACCGACGGGGCGGCGTGATGACGTTGAAGATGAAGCGGGTGTTGCGCGCAGCCGGACTCGGCGTACCCATGGGACAGAAACGAGGCTGTAAGAGGATGCAGGCTTCAGAGTAGTGATCTCAGAGAGGGGGTGCGTTGCCCGAGACCATTTGACCACTCGTTCTTCCATTTGGTGCATTCACTCAGCTCATTTCCAATCAGACATCGCTCCTCCGCCAGGATGATTGCGTCTCATTCGATGGCTCGCGCATCACCTCCCGAGATGCGTTCCGCAGAATGAGGGAAAACCCGCAGATTCCTCGTCGACACGGGCGAGCATCGCGTCGCTCGAAGGCGAGACGGAGCAGCGCGCACTCTCTCTCTTGTTGATAAAGATATGTATCTACTTCGCAAGAGGAAGCTTCTCATCGAATTGAGAGATTCGATCTTCCTCTCGGTTTTCGCAGAGGAATTCAGCTTGCTGCTCCCATGACCTTTTAGGGAAACATGCAGAAGAACCAAAACCGTGACATCATCCCGGGGAGGGCTCCATTCAAGTCAGGTCGAGGAATCCTACAAAATCTTATCCGTTCTTTAGGACGAACTTTCCTTCACTCCATTTTCTCGGCCAATCAGAGGTATTCGCAAATTGACAAAATCTGTCAAGCCTTTATGCATTCTATCTCCGAGGCTGGCATTTCGATCGGGGCCAGGACAGAAACTACCCTGACATCTCTCGTCAGATCATAAAGATTGGGATACTCAGTCTCTCGGAAGAGCTCTTGACGGATCCATCCGGATGCAATGACGCGGCTCATGGCTCTCGCAGAGAGGAGGAGTGAATGAGAAAGTCAGGTGATCGAGATGAAGCGGTCGGATTTCGTGAGGATACCGTTGCAAAGTCCCGATCATAGGTCCCATACACGGGCAAGACAGTAATCGACGGACGGCGAAGAACAGACTCACGCGCTCGCACACACGCACGCACTCACACATATGAACGGATACTGGCAGAGGGACATAGATAAGCGGAACCATGGCAATTGTGCCTTTTTTCCTCGAAATGCTTACTGCTCGATTCGACGGTTCGATGCCATCATCGGCTTCTCCGACTCGATGACATTATTCATCCCTCGGTGATGTACTCTTCAATCTACATCATGTTGCTCGAAAATTGGTTTCCCTAGGGATTTTCTCCGAGCTGGCCGTCGTCGTTTAACGGACCTCTCGTTAACCGAACGATGTTCGGATCGGGTGCGTAACAATCCCCGACCCCTTTTAAAGCTACGAAGCTCGTCGATTTTAGTGGGCAATCAGGAAAAGATTCCCCCATTCGTGCCTGAATCACGAAGTCATGGTCATGGAGCGGGTCACCGCGTCCCATCACAATCGATGACTTCTATATGTTCCTCCCGATTTGGGCGTTATCTTCCTCGCTAGTCCTTGTAGCTTCTCTTCCACAGTCGTGGGATGTTCTGAGATTTCGGAGGATCTCGAGTTGCGGAGAGTATGACCTATCTTATGCGGAGTCATGCTCGTCACTGAGTTTCTTATGAGCCTAGGCTTTAGGGTTCAGGTAAATAGAAGCTACATTCTGATCTTGCTAGTAGCTCTCGCTACTATTACTCACCTTTAGATAGTTCGATTAGGGAGGGAAACACAGCAGCGCATAAACTGTGCTGTGCGCTCGATGAGCAAGAAAAAAATCTGATCGCGAAAAATTATTGGCACGCTCTGGGCCTGCTCGGCTGGCTCCTCCAGCAAAGAGGCTCCAAGGGAAGCGGGAAATTCCGCAAAAAAGGGATTTCTCGGGTTTCGAGTCCGGCCGCGAATAATTTCCTCCGCGAGTATGGCCCGTTCTCCTGCAAGTCCTCTCCACTTGGCTCCTGACCCTGTATTTCTCCACACGAATTCTGGAGAAAAATCCCGCACGAGCTCAGAAGCATCGAAGGGGCGATACGGATAGGCATTTCAAATCTCAGCTTTGATTTCAGAAGCCCTTTCGAATCTGAAGGGAAGATATCGAAAACTTTGTGATCTACGATCGACTTGCGGCGTCAGGGCAGTCTGAGAGTGGAATTCGAACCATGCTTGAGTCAGTTGTACGTAGGGGTTATGGCTCCTGGTCGAGGAAGAGAAATTCCACGGTTGAAGACAATCAGACTGGGGGTTGGTATTAGCCGATTTCTGTATCCTATCGCCGTTGAAATGTTTCTCTCGAAAACGTGAAACACAACATTTCAGTTGCAGCGGGAACTCTACTGACACATGTGCGCAAGCTAAAAAAGATGCTAGTGCAGGGACGGATTTTCCTCACTAAACTGCGGATCGAAGCCCGAGCATTCGGTTCGACGGTGGGTTGAAGCGTGAATTTAGGCTCTGACGTCTCCTCAATCGGACACGTTTCGATGGCTGGCTCCTAGCTGGTGTAGGAAGGGAGGAGGAGCAGAGGATGGTCGGTGAAGAGAGCTGTAAATTTCCGTGTCAGGACTGTGTGGTACTCACCAACATTCTCCATACTTTGGGTGAGCAAAGCCTCGAACGTGTGAAGACTATAACTTTCAGCGTCGAGTCCTCTGGCTAAGGCGCTCCGAAGGTGAGCTTCGTACTCTTGAAGAAGTCTACTGGTAGGCGACTGCTGATCCCTCTCGCGGGATGGAACCACCTCGTCGGAACTGCTCGGCATATCACTGTTTTCGTTTGAGGAACTCGGGGTCGTTGCGTAGCATAAGTTATCGTAGAGGTACTGCTCTGATGAGTGTTCCGGAGAGTTATTATCGACCAGATCTAGGCACAGACTCCTTTCGAGACTTTTTCCTCGTCCTGTAAGGAAGAACGCAGGGTCCGCGTGAAATTTTCGAGCCTGGCCGATCATTCCTCCCGGTATTTTTGGCATCTGTTTTTCTCCGAGCCAGTCATCCCGGCTATGGCGCAGTAAACTCTCACGGGAGGAAGAAAAAGAAGAATAGAAGAAAGGCGGAAGAAAGGGAGGGAAAAGGGAAAAATTTTTCAGTGGAGAAAGGAAAAAGGAGGAGGAAGTGGAAACTAAGGGGGGGGGGAACTGGGGGAGAGAGCTGAGGGGGAGGAGGAAGAAAAGGGGAAAATAGGAAGAAAGTCGCCAAGCTGACGAACCTAGTTCGGGCCGCTGATGATCACGTTCTCTGGATGCTTGCCGAATCAGACCTTGGCGACCCATCGATTGCGTCCTTCTTCGAGACTGTTGCAACTGCTGTTGTTGTTGCTGTTGGATCTGAGCATGTAGTTCACTCCTCATCGAAGACAATGAAGTCTGCGGTCGGAGCGGTCCATGATGGGACGAGCGCGACATTGAAGAAATAACATTTGCACAATTTCCACTGGCGTCAATGGGAGAACTGTGCGCCGAAGTCGGCAACGGATTCAACATTCGCTTGAGCGTGTTGGCGTCGAGGCTGAGCCCCGCCAAATCGGACACGATTCCACAGGCGGTTGCGCAGCGTTCTCTGTCTCCTCTTTCGGTTGCCTCGAACACATTGTCCGACGATTTTGAGCGAGCGTGTTGCAGCGATGTAGCACTCGATTGTCGCGGACTGCGAGCACGGACACCTGACGACGTCGACGGCTGGTTCAGAGCGTACTGGCTCGAATAGTCCATGCTTTTCGCCTGTTCCTTGCGAGCGGCATATTGAGCTTGAGCCATTTGCTGTCGAGACCGCACTTGCTGCTGGGGAGTTGGCTGACCCGAGCCAGCGACAGCCTGTCTCGACCGCGGAGTCGACTGACTGCGATGATCCCCCGCAGCAGCTCCTTGCAGTTTCTGTTGGCTCCGATCCATGTTCGAACGTTTGCTTTTATCGCCCCGGGCAGCTGCGACCGCAGATGGCCGAACCGAACTAGCTGCGGAGCTGGCCGGGGGCAGGGTGGGCCGCGGTAAGTTTGAAGCTCCCGTATACCGAACTCTTCCATTTCGTGTTCGATGAAGATTATCGGCTGTCATACACGTGCATTGTAGCTCAGCACCGGAGCTGGCGGCGCGCCCCCGCGACGGTGAGCTTGGAGTCGACTGTGGTTTTCGTTTTCCTTTAACCTTCTGCAAGGACCGAAAATTCGAGCGTGTCAGCATCGTCGGCAGCGTAGTCAATTATAGTGGGGAGTGAGAGATCGGGCACCAGCAATGTTGTGCGATTGAGTCTGGAGCGAGACTTTTGCTCGAGGATTCTATGCATTCGATCCTCGTATGTGCCGCGGTGCGTTCTTTTGCCTGTGCGATCTACAGGGGGCAGATCTGAATCATGGACTTTTCGGTCCAGTGCTCCGTACTTTGCTCTATCATCCTCATTGACAGATTCCTCGAACCTCGAGCATCGACTGTTCCCTCTTTCCCCGGTGTTGGCACCGCCTCGACTTTGCTACCGCTTAAATTTGATCGGTGTCTGGATAAGGGAACTTATCGGTACTTGCCTTATTAGCGTCTATTTTGAGCGAATACGAGCTTGATGCCTTTCTCGAGAATTTGAATGTCGAGGACTGAAATGCACGTGGATGGTGTTGGTTCGGTGGTATGACCGTGAATTGCGGCCGGCCAGCCGAGTGGCTGGTGGACCTGACATACATTGCTTATGATTGAGGTATTCCAGGAAACGGAAGCGGTAACAGTGTTGAACGAGAATTGTGACCACGGGGCGGAAGGGTAGGGACAACGCATGCCATGCTATATGCATATATACACCGGAAAGAAGCACCAATTAACGTAGGAATACCGCAACTGCGTCCAATCGAGACGAGGGGGATAACTGGATTGAGGCAAGAGGGTTGAGAGCCCGCATACGTTCCACCCATGGAGTCGGAACAGTTTTCTTTTCGATCTTGAGGATCTTCTGCAGAGTTCTGTTCACACGCAATCAGCGGAAGTTCGGGGCGAGGAATGAGCCAACGAGGATCGGAATCGAGAGTTGGAAACGACTCAAATTTCATGCATGTGGAGTATTTTCGGGATCTCGTAGCCGTACGTCCGTACACGTGTACATCCCCACAAAAAGTCATTCACGGTGCGGAGCCCCAGAACGCATACCGACATGACCCATACGGAAAGGAGTGCCATCGAATATGAATGAGGGATGCAAGAATTATCGGAGGATGAGCCCGCGCGTGATGGCGTGACTTTTGGCAAGGAGATAGATAATGCGGAATGGATATAATGATCCCATGCTTTAAAACTAATGAAATTAGCCTATCATGGATTTCAAGGAAAAATTCAAGGCCGGTTCCCGTATTCAGAGTGGACAGGATTAGGAGGAGGTTCAATCGATTTTTCGCGGGAATTTCGGAGCTTGTCAACTCACACAACAGTCTCTAAACTGCTTGGCATCGGCAGGTGACGTAAAGTTGAGACCCCACGTGTCTCCTGAATGGCTATCCTTCCAGTATACGAAACATTCCGAGGCTTGACCGAGTCTTGTGCCGGGCTGCTGTAGCCGCACATCTAGAATCTTGTCAACCTGCGAGTTGTAAGCCGTGATGTGGAAGACGAGATCTGGGTTGTCTTGAATACACGTCACATTCACCGGAACCAGATCTTCGGACACCCTTTGCCATTTGATGGCGCCGCCTGGAAATAGGAATCCTATATTATCGGCGTTTACTGGAGGCTCACGATCGAGCGGAGGCCATGGGAGTTTCGTGGGAACGACATTGAATTCTTCTCGTCAATTCTCCCTTGTGCTTAAAGCTCCGACCACTTCTCCGTTTGATCTCGGGGTCATCATCAGCTACGTTATAGGAGTTGTATAATTGTATTACCTATTTTATCATATACGAACGAGGAATTATCGGATTTTTTTTTCGAGACGAAGTCTCGGTGGAGACCAGACTGTGATTGTGATTCGAATTCCTCTCCTCGCCGGGCTTTTTCTCTCGAATGCGAAGGAGATCCTCTATGATTGCCTCCTGATTCCGCCGTTATCGGACCGATCGATGCGCTCAGCTGGGCTCCTCTCTGAGTCGGAGCCTCCTCTAGTTTCGCGCTACGCGTTGAAGGAATCTCAAACAAAACCAGAGCAAAGAAGAGGAACTTTCGATTCGGAGGTTCGCGAGAATCGTCGATCGATCCGTGGTGTCGGATTATTCGGCAGACATGATTTAGCATAAACACAATCACAGCCTCCTCTCCATCTAACTTTGCGTGCATGAGCTCTCCGGAATAGAAAACTCAGTTCTACGTCGGGTCTCTTGACTATCGGAGAGCGGGGGCTGAGCTTCAGCGTGAAGGGTTCCGTAAGGGAAAAACTCCGAGCCAAGTATTTAATACGCCGTATTGTGAACGGACCGAGATCGAATGAAGAACGACCACCATACCTGTTCCGCTGACGTGAAAAACCTCAGCCCATAGCCGAAGGAGGTGACCGTCTCTGCGGCGTTTGTCCTGCCAGGGTGAATTTTCGCCCTGGCGATTCCCTTTTTTCTGCAGGGGCGCGCACGAACAGCCGAGTTTGTTGCCCATCCTCGAAGTTCGAACGGCGGCGTCGAGAAGGGCCCGGAGGGCCGCTTACAAACACTCTGACACGACAACGCAGCCTCGACAGCCTCGAACGGCGGCTCTGAAGTCGAGCCGGGGATTTTTTCGCTGTTTCGTTGCTCGTGCTGATGGCTGCGGCGGTAAGCTCAACGCGAGCGCACCACCGAATTCACGTACGATAGACGAAGACGAAGACAAGATGGTAGACACTGAGTCTGACGGGAGATAATTTTCCTTTGCTTCTGTTTCCGCTGTGGCTGCTCCCCTCTTTGCTGGGGAGCAGAACACGATGCCGGCCTCCGGGTAGGTACGATTGACGCTCGACGAAAACGCGCACAGAGGGGGCAGAGGAGCGCGGATGGAAGTAACGCAAGGCGACGACGTACGAGATGACTGCCACCAAGACGTTCCGTCATGCACGTTCATCCTGGAAACATTTCAAAAAAAAATATCAGGAGCCAGATTCGCCACAGAAACGACGAACTCGAAAGTTTTCCGGATGAGAAGTTCCGCTCGGCCACGGAGTCAGTCACAAGGATAGATCGCGGCTGGTCCAATCAATCGTCCAGTTCCGCCTACAACGGTGGACTCCCCACTCGCCAGACGCACGCGTTTCCTCTCGTCACAGACTCGGTGGGCACACCTCGATCTAGCGCAGGGTTCCACTCGAATTTCCAGCCTCGTCCTTCGATCCAATGTATGCTCATCAGCGACGAAAACTGATCGCCACGGCTCTTCGGTCCCTCATGCGGTCAGAACTCGGATGTGTATCAAAGCTCGGACAGTGGATCTAGAAATCGTTTAACCTTTGACCGGATTCTTGTGGTTCGATGTCCTTATTGGGGGTGCTTTCCGTCGGTTGAATCACAGACACAAAACCATGAACCGGATCGATGTCGCCTACTAGAGCCTTTGACAGATTTCACAGGGAGGTCGATGGAGAAAGCGACTCGAGTCGGGCTTTGCCACTCTGTCTCACCGAGTCCAGCCTCCTCGCCGAGCTTAGCACGAGGTAAAGACTGCGACTGGCCTCGCTCTGGGAGAGAAGAAACAGAGAAGCATACGAGCGAACGATAGAACGACCAACGAGCGACTGGCTGAATGAGTGAGTGAACGCAACGAACGAGCTATCACTTTCCCGCACTAAAGGCGTCCTGCGATTTCCCGCGGAACAGCTTCCATCGAACGTGCCTTATGATAGACGCTTGACTCGGCTGGAGCATTTCCGTGACGGAAACTAGAAGTCGGCGAGTTCATCGTTGATTTCCGAAAAATCCGTAACAACACTGCACTTGGAACGCCATCGCTCCGGAACCGAAGACAGCTCGGCAACGCTGTTGTGATAGAGGCGGTAACGATGGCGCTAATTCCGGAACCGAAAGCTCAACGAACGAATAACGAGGCATCTACGAGCCGACAGAATCGTTCACAAAGCGTAAATTCACGACAAAACATGCCGTGAGAACGAATGACTAGAAAATCAGCGAGAAGGTGACCTCGTCTGCTCCGTGGTGCACAGGCGCTGAGGAGAGTCGCTGCTCGAATCGGAACCTCGCTGGCTGGCTGGCTGGTCGGTCGGTCGGTCAGACCTCTAGTCGTCAACGTTGCTGCCGAGGTCGACGTCGAACCAGATCGCGTCGCTAAGCACTCGTTGAGGCTCAACAATTGATCGAACACTTACACGGAAGGTCTGGCGATCCAGAGTGGAGAATCTCCCCAACGATGGGCACTGTAAAAGAGTAGCACGATGGGAAGAAACAAGGACCCGCCATGTTGCACCTCCACGCCCTCGAGCAGCCGAAGAGGCGGCTGGCTCCGTAGCTGCTGGAAGTTTTTGTCGAACTGGCGGCTTTTCCACCAGCACTTTTACCGATCCAAGTGAGGTCTGACACTCTGAGCGTTCATACGCCCAGTACTTTTGCTTTCGTTCAGGGGGCACAACAAGGCACAAATCTTCTTAAGCCTACTCGGTGGCATGGGTGTCAGGAAGAAAACGGAACGAAGTACTCTTCGCCTTTACCAGTGGAGAGGGCGGACCAACACACTCCACTGACAGTCAGCCCTGTCAGCCAGCCAGCCAGCCGGCCGTGCTCCGAGCCATCCAATGCTCCCATCCGCCCAAGCAGCCATTCCCTCAGCCAACCAGCCACCCAGCCAGGCAGATAGTCTGCTTGCTTGCCACCCCGCAGCTTGCTGCAAGCTCGCAAGTGTCCGCGCACCCCGCTTCGCCAAGAAAACTTTTGCTCGACTTCCGTAGGTTCCCCGGGAATCACATCGAAGGTACTTCACGGGAATGAAAACATCCGTATGAGACCAAGCTCCCGGGCCGGAGTTTATTATCGAAAAACTGCGACGAGGACTCGAAACTCGATTTGGGCTAGCCTCCGACGACCTTGCCGCGCAAAGCGGACTAGACGCTCCAGTCCCGCTTCTAGGCTATTCCTTCTCGATAAGATTCAATGATCCTCTAGAGTGATCGGCTAGGTGGAAATCAAAAGACGATGCGTGATAAATACGATGAGGGCCTGATGACAGTCCTGATAGAAATGCGAGGGAGGACGGAGTGAGAGGCCTTGCGACGTCGGGCGTCACCCCGGGTTCTGTACAGAATGATCGGGGAAATTCGGAAGTTCACCGAGTTCATTTCATTTTCCCCGGTTCGATTTCCCTCCCTCCGAGTCCCACCGGTTTCGGTGTTTGTGGCTATCGTTTGCTACTGCTGTTGGTATTCGGCTGGTAGGTGGGTCTATCCGTCCGTCTGTCTGGGGGTAAAAAGTGTGTGTGACTGCCCGAGTGTCTGTAAGTGTGTATGTGTGTCAGAGTGTGTGGGTATTTCGTGCTGGAGTCTGGCGGATTCCTTGCTCTGCGAGTGTGTGTGTTACCGCGTGTGTGAGCAGGGGTCTGTGCCCTCCCATGTGCGAGAGTCTGCGAGTATGGATGTGTGAGAGCGTGGCAATGAATGAAGACGAGGATGAGTATCCTGGGAGGAGACGAAGGGAGGGCGGGAATGCTGCTGCTTCTGCTCCAGCGCTGCTCTCCGTCCTCCTCTGTCCGCTGCCCTCCCTCTCGGGCCGTGTGGAGCTGCTGCTGCTCCCGCCGCTGCCGCCTCCACTCATTCTCCCTCTATTACCACTACGACCTTCACCCACACAGCAGCATCGGAAGAACAGCAGTAGGAACATCAGCAGCAGCCCCGAGTTTCGGTTCTCCGTCCGTCCTTCCTTCCTTCCCACCCTTCCTCCTTCTTCCCCATCCGGGCGGGCGAGGGGCCGGCCGGCCTGTCTGTCCCTTCCTGGGATCGCGTATGGGAGTCACCTCTTGAGTCGGCTACGGTGCTCATCCGCCTCTTCTTATCCCTTCTCGGTCCTTTCTCTCGCTGCGATGTAAGCAGCGACGGGGACAGTTTCTCCTCCTACGGGGTCTACGAGTCTCGCACGATGTTCACGACCTTCCGGCGGTCGCCCCTTTGATCCCGTGATTCCGGCGATTGTATGGGGGACGTCGGTCGGTTCTAGAATCATTGCTCGCACTCGACCCGAGCTCCATACCGTAGATTTTTCCCCCGCAACTTGTTGATCCTCAAAGAACCTACCGTTCACGGGCACGAGCGAGTACTATTCTGGAGAAATCAGGGGTGACCGAACAACAGTGAATCTCGCAATATGGATCGTGGCCGCGTCTGCGTCGTATCGAACTTCCACGGGTATCAGATTATCGATTCTTCCGGTAGACATAAGAACACAAAACATGGACTACAGAAGGATACGTCTGACATATGCCGTCGTCCGATGTATCGGATACCAATAATACTAGCCGATTACAAATTGTCGTAACAAATTACTGTCGTTGAGCTGCAGTCGGCTTCAGGCCAGCAGGACGCTCACCCGCCCGCCCTGCTTCGTTACGATGACGTTCACGTCGAGCGAACGTGCTCTAGGCGTCCCGTGGTCGATCCGAGTTCACCGATCGAAATGAGAACAATGCGCCTCCCTATCCGTCGATGTCTTTTGCCGAATCCGCGATTTCTTCGGTTATCGAATGATTGTATCCTGAAATCATCGCTCGACTTGCTTGCATCGAAAGGCAGCTTGACGCCGCGCGGCTTCTCCTCGCTATTCGAGTCTCTCCGTGAGATCGCGGCGCTAGGGATCCATCCACAAAATCGATTTGGGTCTCACATCGAATATCCGAATGAGATATCAATCGATGGGAAGCCAAATTCTCTAACTCAACCATGGAGTTCCTCCCGGGACAGATCCGGAAACGAGTTTGAAGTCTCGCGCCTCGGAACTGGGAAAGCTCTCCCTGGGATTTCAGATCGCACGCATTCACCGCGTTTTCCCGCCTCGCGATTCGAGTCGGCCATCGTCGACGTCTCCGGACACGCCCTGAAGAGGACGCCACCTCTTGGAACACGGGGATCTCCTCGGCGAAAGGAGGGCGAAACGTTGGAAAGGGGCGCGAGCCGACGGTTCTTTGATGGAGGATGGAGGGTCGGTCCGAGCCGAGCCTACCGCTGACTTTCCGGGATCAAGTCGAAATTCGGTGTTACGTCCGCGCGAGTCTGTGGCCCGGACCCCGCTCCGGCCCAACAGTAGGTCACCGTAATTTTTGATGGAGAAGTTACCCCTAGGAATGGCAATGCTAGCTCCCTCATCGGGCTGCTCGATCGCGAATTTCGAGAAAGTCTCTCCCATCCCGCATAGATACCACTTATTACTTGCGCAAACTCTTTGCTTGTGGTTACGGAAGATAGCGCTCAGAAGGCCAGTCCGCTTCATCGAGCACCGGGGAATGCGCTTATTCAAGAACTCGGAGGGTGCCGAAAAATGAGTCTCCTCTCCCTCTCACGTCGGTCCGGCTGAAAACTGGGGGTTTCGGATGCGACTGCCGCTCACGTGCATTTGACCGTGCTCGGCTTTCATATGTGTACATCATTGTGACCGATCCCCCAGTCGAAGGGAAGTGCAGAAAATCGAGTGGAGAAGGGACCTGATTCCTTAGAATAGCACAGCATGGTTCGAAGATACACCAGGAAAACTTCGCGCGGCGACTACAGCACCGAACAGGTCGAAGCCGCCGTCAAAGCGGTTCTGGGAGGTCTGAAACTAACAGAAGCGTCCAAACGCTTCTCCATAAACAAAATGACCCTCAACCGCTACGTCAAAAAGCTTCTGAAGGATGTGCAAGGCGCTCAGGAAGCTTCCAGCTCCGGCAAAGTGATCAGGATCAGGAACAAAGCCGTTGTGATTGGTTACACAAAAACGAAACGTTTGTTTTCCGCAGAAGAAGAGAATTTCCTCGTTGGAGAGTTGAAACGCGGCAACGCTAGGGCGACTTCGGACGATGTTCGCCGAGAGGCGTATCGGCTGGCAGTGAAACTACAGAAAGAAATTCCGAAGACGTGGACGAAATCCGAGATGGCATCGTACGATTGGTTGACTAGCTTCCTGGCTCGGCGGAATGACATCGCAGTCACGTACAAAAGGAATCGGGAGCAGCACAAAGTTTCGAGTCGCTGAGGCTCAATCGATCTCGTCGTGCGGAGACCAAGTTTTCATTAGAATAAAGTTTTGTGACGAATACTTCTCATGAGGGTGTTTTCATTCATTAAGCCCTAAGATCCGGTGTTTTCACCGTTTCGATTCATTTGGATATTATGATATCGACATTCAACCGAGTGGTGGGAATCATTTCAATGATCAGCGCAGGGGAATTCCGCCAATGTTAATCTCGCGCGCCGATCGAGAGCGACTGCATGTCGAGAGCTGATACGGGGGGACGTCGACGAGCGCATATTGAAGACTTCACGCTGCGTCCTTCGAGGAGACTGCATCGCTTATCGCGCGGGCACCGTCGAGCGGCCACCGAGTGAGAATAAAGTCTGTCAAAGATCAACCGATCGAAGGTCATCGTGTTCTCCCCCTAAGGGACCAATCACACAATATCAATGGAGAATCGCTGGGGGTAAAAAAGGTGCTCGCGAAGGGAGAAAAAAATTGTCAGAATGGGAGCATCTTGGAAGCCGATGAGAAAGCTCGCCAAATTGGAACAATTCGCATGTCAGTGTCATTGCAGCAACATGTTCCACATCGGAAGTAATGTTTATTCTACGGAACTTCTCGACATGGGAAGATCGCTGTTTTAGCAGCATACGTTCTTTTCTCGGCGGAGTTTGAGTAGCCTCTAAACGGCTCCGGCGCGGAATTATGCGCTCGACCATCAAGATAGATAAGTCGAATGCCGCACCATCGAGGAACGTTATCGATTGTCCCGTGGGGCTTGCAATTGAGCTTACCGCGGGTACGGAGCCCCAAGTACCGCTCGTCTCCGTCTTGGATTTATGATCGGTTCCTCTCTGGCCTTAGTAAGCCGGAATTCGAACTTCGGACAGCTCATTTCCAATCTTCAAAGCAGGAGCGGACAGTATCGCTTTGCTTTCTTCAAAGATAAGAGATCTTTCGCTCGATTCGAATTTCATAATTTTCGCTTCTCGACGGCAGTTTTGGTAATTTATTCTAATTCGCAGGTAGGTCGAGAGGGTCCCTTGGGTGCTTCGCGTACGCCGGCTCTCTCAGGAGCCCGGTGAGATCTCGTGCTCCGACTATGGTCGCAGTCCGGGGCGCGGCGGTCTACTATCTCGACAGGTGGCGTCGGGAGCGACGTTTACAAGGGAATGACGTTCCATGCGCCGCAGGGAGGCAGGCTCACGCAAAATTTTCAGGTTCCCGGGAAGGACCGCGGAACACTGGAATGACTCGCGAGCGGGCTGGAGCCTAGGGCTTGCCGCTCCGATGATCTGGTAGCGTTGAGACTCTTCTTCGAAAGAACGTTTTCGTTGTGATTTAGCCTTTACCGTCTTTCCACAGGAATCCTTTGCGAGGTTCTCCACGGAAGCTTTACGCTCTAGATCTAGATCAAAGCTATGGTGGAGTGCTACATGGGAACAGATCGCCGAGCCCGCCAAAAACGTGACACTGAAAAACGGAGCTTTCTAGGCCTCCTGAAGCTCAAACTGAGAGAGCTAAAATCCCGATGATTCGAGGCTTGAACTCGAATAACTTGCCCGAATCTCGATTCCACGAGAAATTCATCAGTGAAGAATCACAACAATCATCGAGCGGGTGATTTGTTTATTCGTCTTGCGCTCCGATCCCTGACAGTGACAGCTACTTCGCCCAATACATGCTGCAAGTTCCGAAGAGTCATTTTGTGAGTACTGAAGCGGTGTTTATGAAGATCTCTCCCTGAAGATTATTGCAATCACGAGTCGAGGTAACTGTGGAGGGAGCCCGCAGTGTTGACATAGACGATGGGAAGTACCACAAAATGTTGAGGACACAGAGAGAGTTGATAATTCGGCTCTTGGAGAGACAGAATGTGCCATGTGGGAGCCCAACTCCTATCTTCGTTGTGCAGCTGTGACTCGTGTCAATGACGAGATCCACTTGGGTCGATCTCAAGCGTCTGAGCTACGGTACCCGACAGTGAGATCCGAATATTGTTTTAGCCCGTTGGATTTCCTCCATCGTGAGGGAGACTGCCGAAAAGTTCAGAACCCTGACGCCGTCTTCCCCCTGATGGAGTGGCTCTCGGTAGGAGTGCGCCCTGGAAGATCGGGTCTGGTGCATCTGACCGCTAGGAACCACTTGCTCCCTTTGACACGATCTCGCTGCGTTCCTCGTCTTATTGGAGAGGCCGGGTATCCTCTAAAATCTGTTCTAGATGAACCCAAGGGAAGGTTTGGCGTGGGTCAATCGGTATTTACTCCTTGCGATGCTCGAGATCGTCTTGGGAAGAAGGCATGGGGACGTGGCCTGATGCGCGAACATATATATAAGATCCCGCTTATAAAGGGCTAGTTTTCGCAGAGCGACCCTTGATCTTCCGCGCGGACAATCGCCCGAAAAGTGGAGACTCGATGTCCTCCTGAACGGATTACATTGCTTCCAGCTCAAATCGATCAGGGGAATCATGCCACGGACTCGGGCAGCCTCTCAGAAACAAGCTGTACCCGCACCTGATGCCCCGGGAACCCCAGCAGAGCACACTTCGAAACCGAAGAAGACAGTGAGGCGGAAAAAGTCCGATGAAGTTAAAGTACCTGTTTCCAGTGCCGACGGCGAGATATCTGTGAGCGAGTCTTCGTCCTTCACAACTCACCCGCTCTTCTTTCCCGTCTATGTGAGAATCCCGAGGCCGCGTCGTGCCGACAGAATTTGGTTGAAATCTTAACTCTTACTTCAGGATATCGAAGACGTAGTCTCCAAAAAGCTCAAGTGGGAGCCGAAGAACTGGTTCCAAATTTTGGAAGGTGTCCGGAAAATGCGGGAGAAGAAAGACGCACCATGTGACATTATGGGCTGCCACATGGTCTCCGGAGAGAAAGCAGATCCCAAGGTAAGATTCCGGACAAGAATCTAAGACCTGCGAAGAATTATTGTGACGTTCGGATGCGCAGACTGTGATTAGGAAGTATTCTTTTTCCTCCCTACAGCTCCAAAGATTTCAAATCTTGATCTCACTCTTACTGTCGTCGCAAACAAGAGACGAAGTCAATTACGCCGCTTGCTCCCGGCTGCATGATTTCGGATTCACTCCCGAGAAGTTGAAGGAGACTGACGAAGCCATCATCGAGAAAATGCTCCATCCCGTGGGTTTTTACAGAACAAAAGCCAAGAATTTGCGCAAGGTGGCGCAAATTTGCTTCGAGCGGTACGATTCTGACATTCCGCATTCAGTGGAGGAACTTTGCCAGCTTCCCGGCGTGGGTAGGTTTAAGTTCCAACTCCGTTCGATCCTGCTCAATGTATTGCCTCCGAGCAGGCAGCTGCTTCGAGGCCCATGTCAGGCGGATCACCGCTGAATTGTTGATCCCATCCAGGTCCCAAAATGGCTTACCTTACAATGAACTGTGCGTGGAAGGAGACGACCGGCATTGGCGTCGATACGCATGTACATCGTCTCGCGCAACGTTGGCTATGGCTTCCCAAAGGACAGACAAAATCGCCGGAAGACACAAGGCTACAGCTTGAAAGTTGGCTTCCCAGGTATGCTAGCAATGAGATTTCGGCTTGAAACCGACTGTATGCAAGTTATTCATCCTTGAGGAACATTGTCGCGCTGTAGCTATCCGGGAGCGCGGATCATCTCTAGGCCAACTTTTCAGTGAGAATCGATTTTCAGTGATCTCTGGGAGGAGCTCAACTGGCTACTCGTCGGTTTCGGGCAGACCGTGTGCGGCCCTACGCATCCGAAATGCTCCGAGTGCCTCATAAATGACGTTTGCCCGAACGCTTTCAAGGAAAACAAGAAGAAGGCGAGTCCGGAGGGGAAGAAGAAGGCGAGTCCGGAGGGGAAGAAGAAGGCGAGTCCGCAGGGGAAGAAGAAGCAAGAAAAATCTCCGTGATTCCCTCCGAGTGGAATTCCTGTGAAGTGTCGGATATGTGAATACCTTAGAGCCGCTGTCTCTCTCGGGAATTTCGAGCGATTTTAACCTGGTTTCCCGATTTACAATACAACTTACAATAAAAGCAGAGTATATTTGATCAAACACGGCCCCTCAGAAAATAGGGAGCTCGATTGTCCAATAACGAATTCCTGATTCCCGCTCCTCGTGACGGATAAATCCCATGAGGGGATCGATGCGAACCTATAGCGTGCTGAGAATAGGCCTACAGGGACCTGGACGCGCCTACCTGAGTCTTTTGGGTAATCATCAAGAAATATACGATCGTTTTCTCGGAGATCCTCACGCTCTCCAGTGGAGAAATCTGTCCGATGCCGCGATCGAGCATTCATTGGATATCTCACTCAGCGAAACAGCGAGTTCCCCGGAAGCTCCCTTGAGTTCCCCAGCGTGAACTCGATGTGGAATCTTTATTGGAGTCAGCTTCCGACGACCGGAAGCGTGCATGGATGAGGTGTTATATGAACAACGCGCTTGCTTCGATCGATTGTTTTCTGATGGTTCAACAACAGACGCTGATGGAGCGGACCTGGACCGAAGAATGTGGCAGCCGCCTGTATATCGGAGTAATGCACCGAAGGAGTTGCAGAACACACTCACCAGCTCGATTCTTTTTTCCAAGACACCATAGCTCAGCAATTCCTTAATGGAAGCTATCGCTGGCGGCGGTCTGTTCCGATGGGGAGGCTGTCTTCCCTCACAGAGAAGTTTGATCCCAGTCAGAGGCGAAGTCGGAGCCAAATATCGCATTTCAAGCACCACTTATGTGACTTTCTCAGATTGGGAGCCTCGATCTCCGATCACGATGAAGCACGGATAGCGTAGGCATACTCTTTCTGGCTTTTATTTACTCCTTTCAGGCGTTCATCAAGAATCTGCCTCTCCGTGAAACCCTAAACCCATACCGGGAAGAAATATTCCCAGTTCGACGTGATCGTCGCTCCTGGGATCTGAGCGGGCGTATTTCGTATTCAGGGACGAGCAATTTCCGGGCGGGCTCAAGACGATTCCCCGGCGTCAGGCGCCATGCGGTTGAAACTCATATGCTTCCTCATTGTGTATCCTGTGTCCTCTCGGAGGGGCGAGCTGTGCGATGTTGTCGACTGAAACTCCATCTCTCTCGCTGAAGCCCCCAGGGAGGGGCCCCGCCTGCGGCTCGAATGGGAAATCTGTCAAGATGGCACTTCGGCGCAGAAGTCAGTGGGCGAGCGCTCGAGTCAGCCCTTCGCTTGCTCCCCTCTGTGAGACGCCGCCATCTCCGTGAGAGATTGGCGTCGCGTAGGCGACTCTGGGGCGCGATCAGCAGGTTTTCAGCGTAAATCATGAGGCGCGGAGATCTCTGGTGAGGAAAACTCGAAGAGCTACGTTCCACTTAGAGATGAGGTTCGAAGCCAACCGAGACTGCAGCGTCGAAGGTTTCAGAGGAGCGAGGTTCATTCCGGACCGCGAAGCCGTATTCCGCGGGATCTTCGTTGCTTGGCGTCAACGAATAAATCTGTGGAGAAGAATACGTCAACTGAGCGGAAATAGATACCCTCTATATCCACAGGGCGCTTCACCGAGCCTCGAGCGGAGATAATTCAAATCAGCCGACACGGGGCTTAAATATGTGTAACTCACCTCGCGTGAATCAATTCTCGACAAAACTGATGCTCTCTTCAATTTCTCGTTGAAAAATACCCCGCTCCAGTTGAGCTCGTTGCGGTGTCCATCCAAGAACAAGTCGGTGGGCCGAGCGAAAAAGCTACGGAGATGTCGGAGTTCTTTTCCTGAATCCAGATCGAAAATTGGCGGCTGCTGAACGATCGAAACGTTCGGAGCGACGTTCGAGCGAAGGGACCCGAAAATACAGCCCACCGAAGAGATCAGCGCTGCGAATTTTCCCAATACCAAGACTGAGAACGACGTTCCTATGCCGTCCATATGTATTCCACGTACCTAGACGTTCATAATCAAGTTCGCGAGCGGCGAACGAGATCCGATGTCGAAGTATTAGGCCACTCGTTTGAAGTCGACTGCAGGTCTCAAAGAACACAGAGTCTGCATAGAGGGATCCCTTGACGCCAGGATCATGAATACACCTCAACGTTCCACCGGAGTTGGGCATATACCGACACAGAACTTCCTACTCATCCGAGATACCATACCGGTCGAATGGACTGTTTGGCGAGGAAGAAATTGAACACAGAAAGCCGATATTCGCTGGCAGCGGGATCCTCTTGGAAGACATGTCGAACAATATCGAAGAGGGAAATCCTCTCTGTGAGCTGTGGACTTCCTCGAGGGCTCTCACCGAGAGCACTCGCATTGAACTCACCGAGGCCCGCATATATGGTAGCACCCATCTTGGAGTCTGGGCATATGAAAACTTTCCCTATTTATGCACCTGCTCTAGACTCGTTATACAATTGTGGCGAGGGCACGCCCGCTTCGCCCTTGAGCAAGCTGTGAATGGGAACATTCTACGCATGAAGAAGTGCTCTTTCCCCGATCGACAATTCCGTTATTTGTTGTTCCTGGGTCATCGGATCAAAGAGCGACGGAAGTCGGCGGAATTTCTGTGAGACTGAAATGTCGATTACGAAATTAATTCGCGTCAGACTTCGAGCGAAAACGATAGAATATCTTACCGAGGCCGGTAATACGCCGACAAGAGAGATTGCGATGCGATCACCATGTGAATGGACTTCCCATCGGGAAGGTCATCTTAGACTCGTATCAGTAAGGGAAAACTAAAAGACTGCCCGCGGGAGGCGCACTAAGAAAGTACGGCTGAGAGGTTTGGAGTCCGTCAGCGGCTCCCAGATGGTTACTATTCTCAGGTTGGAGAGCTTTTACGTTCATAGGAACTCACAGCAGCGAATGCAATGCAATAAGCGATTCTGGTGAGCATACAGAGCGCCGGCACGCAGTGCATACTCACGGCAGCGAGTTCACTTATGTGTTCGGCTCTTATAAGAAGTCTTCGCCCATGCTCGCTCCGAACAGCGGCCGCATGCCTATTGGCAGATGTTCGCTTGGAGGAAGAAATAGTGTTAGTCCAGCCAATATCGAGGTTTGCAGCTTTGCCGGAACAGATGGAGCCTACGAGGTCATGCATGCGAGTTCCGTTTTGCATCCGACGACCATCCACGAAGAAGCCCCATAAAGATTGAATAAGCGTTCTAAGGCTTGCTCGATCGTGTATTTGATTAGCTCGCATGCCAATCCGGTCGGAGTAGGCGAGATTAGAGCCTCCGACCTGAGACGGGGCGATGTTGTCCCCCCGAGACGAATCGATCCATTCATGCTCCCACAGCGAATTCTGCCGCCTTGCTCGTGAACAGTAGCTCTCCAGAAAACGATCGATAGTCCAGCGGACTATGCGATGCTCATGGCCTATGACGTTCGTATTCAATAACGGACATGACGTACGACTATGAACTTTCTGTTCCTGAAGGCATCAGGCAACGGAGGAAAGAGGCTTCAGCAGAGCGATCGTCCTAGATGGTAAGGGCGGAAGTTGCGAGTCAGTTTTCCTCGCATTATGCATACAGAATCGCTGCGGAGGGAAGATCAAACAGAATGGTAGTCCTATCTCGGGGGCTTCTGATCAACTCTATGCTCATTCAGAATTCAGTCCTTCCTTCTCTTCTTGAGTGCTTTGCAGTTTGAGAAAAAAGTCCCGTACGCTGAAAATTCGTCCGATGCAGATCGGCATAGCTTGTCGGGCTCCTCCTCGCAGGCAATCGCGCGGATCCTTGCGACGTAACGGGGGAACGACAGGACGTTCGATCCGTCTGAATACATGTTCGTAGACGTTCGAAAATTCCAATTAGCCGAGAATGCGACGTGCTTCCCGGAGGCTCCCTGCTCTGCCGTATAGGGAACTTGCGGAAGACGGCATTGGCGAAACCGGAATATAGAGAAGACTCGAGAGAAGTTGGTACAGTATTTGCAAAGGAACTTCTCCTCTGCAGCCAGGGTCGCGGGCTCGTTTCAAATGATGAATGGCCAGGGCAAGAGTGACAGTGGAATGCGGGACTAGCGACAGCGGTTGGGTTACCACCCTCGTGATGGCGGTAGCGGAAAATCGAGGCCCCAGGTGCTTTCACAAAAGCCCCGCGGTGCCACTCAAACTTGTTTGTGACGCCTTGGTGGAACTCGGTTGGAGCATACGACGGTGTGTTTGTCTTCTTCAGAAGCGTTCTTACGAATGCCCGTGTTCCTGCGACGAGAAAGCCTAAAATCCAGCGCATTCCCTCCCTTATCCTTGGTCTACTGCTTCCGGGTCTGGGATGGGGACCTCTCTCATCGGCTATGGCCAGACCCAGCCTCTAGCGTAGAACAGACGTCGATCCCTAAAGGTATAATTCCGAAGGATCCAAGTTCTGCGGATGTTATCACAATGGTCACAATCCCGATGTCCTAGAATAGGCTCTACATAGAGCGACGACCCAGGTCGACCCAGCGGAAGGACCCGAATAACGAGACAAGTCGGCGCCAGGCAATTCCAGGAGTGCGACAAGAGAACTATCAGATAGAGTGGAAGGGACATCTCTCGGGGTCACGTTCAAGTTTCGGCGTAGCATGTGGCATACCTTGTGTGCCTCGTTTTCCAGCATCCGCGGAAGTTCCGCGAACAATGAGTACAGGCTGGCCCGCGGCACTTCAGCGGTCGCCTTGCATGTTCGTTTCCATTCCGATAACGCAATTATCTCTTAGTCCTACCAAAGAATGACACCCGAGCGGCCTGAGGCGCTTTCGTGGTGGCTCTGACGGCGTGGCATTGCGGCGGAGTACGGCCTTACTATAAGGCTCGGAACCGCTTCGCGTGAGGCTGGAGACTGCTCCGCGATTATCAAACCGGAATGGAATCGTGTGTTCCGGATTCGGATTTTTCGATCTGCCACGATGAATTGAGATACATTCATGTGAGGTCAGGGCTGGAGGTGCGGGTACCAGGTAAGGATTATGCTCGTCCCCTCGAATCGTCGCCTTCCTCCTGTTAATCGGCACTCCTTGTGTTCGACTCGCTGCCGCAGCTCGCTCGCCGATGATGATCATCGTGAAAGTTTCCTCAATCATATCGAAGGAGGAGAATTTATAGATTTGGAAAGACGAAAAGGGTAATCCCATATTCCGAATAAATTGGCCGTTAAGAGGAAAACTCTCAAGGTGAATCTCCGAGCGAAATTCTGCTAATAATTGGGAATAGAGTCCCAGAGGTAGGCTCATGATCAATTTATTCACTTTCCCTGGATGAGACTTTTTACAGATGTTTTACGAAAAAAAAATAGGAAAACTAGAAGTCGCTCCTCACGGAGTAATATTTACAGAAATCGGGAACGATGGCTTCGACTCAGACTAGTGGTATGGGCGCTTGAAGCCGCATGGAATGAATTCAAGTAATAGCTTATCTCGATGACGGCCCTTTGGGGTCCGTGGGTTGATCAGGCTCCGATCATCTGCTGGAGGGTCCATCCTCAGTCGTTGTGCTTGAAGTAATTGCCGACAGAGGAGGTATCGTAACCACGATCATCGGGGAGTTTGTATTCCGAGATCTCGGTGCCTCCGTCGATCTGAACGATTCGGCATCCGGGCTTCTCGACTCCTTCTCCGATGGCATCGGGGTCGACGGGAGGGGAGACATCGTGGCCGTTCCAGTGTCTTGGGTTGTTGTTGAAATGGCACTCGGAACCCGGGACGATGTCGTATCGTTCTTCGATGCGGTACTGGACGGACTTGGAGCTGTAATCGATACAGAGCTGCGAGCTACCTCCGTTGACGAGTTCTCCGCCGGGATCCCAGTCGTTGTGCTAAGTCCTTTGGTTTGGGGCCTGGGTGTGCTGGTCTCCTGTGCAGATGGCGTTGTGCTCACAGCTGGCGCAGCTGTTGATAGGATTTTCGTCTGCTTGCGTGTAGCTTGCGGTGCACCAGCTGTATCGCTGGCTTTTGGCTTGAGCGGAGCTGTTGATTCGGAGTTGGGTTTGCCAGCTGTTTCGGACACTCCGACCTTCGAGGGAACCCTTTTTTTAATTTTCCCGCCTTGATGAGATCCCTCCGTTTTCTTGCTCACTTTCTTGACTGCGCTGGTACTTTTCGTCGGAGTCTGTTTCTGACCACTTGATTTCGCTGCGGCTGAAAGTTTTATCGGCGCGGGAGTTTTCGCAGGAATTACTCGATCCGTTTCTTTCAATTCGGACTCCGGTTGAGATTTCTTACTCGGAGGCTTCGTGACGAGTTCTGCGCTGCTTCTGTTTGGCATTTCTTTCGTATCCGATTTTTCCCTCACGAGGCGAGGCTGAGTTTTTGTATCATCGACAGCCTTCGCGTCGATATTGGCTCCGTGTGTCGTCGTCGGGGCCTCGGTTTGCTTTCTCGGGGTGCTTGCGGTCGACGGCTTCGGAAGCTCGTCCGCTCCTTTCGCACTCGGAGGCTTATCGTCGCTTTCGTCCGAATCGCCCAAAACCGATGTTCTCTGGTTGCTAGGCGCTTTCGTCGTTAGAGCGTATCTGTTGTCGATGTGAGGTTCTCCAAAAGATTCGGCCGTTTGTCGCTCCTGGTTTGTGACAGTTTTCCTTTCGGCTTGGTGTCGTGTTTGCTGAGCGGTGCGTTGCCGTGACTTCCTTTGACCGGACATCAACTCGAGTCTCTTGACGTTGAAATCGTTGTCACGGAAGTTAATGACATCGAGATTGAGTCGATTGCCGTATCCGGGAAGTTTCCCGAACGACGGCGTGCTGGAGCGGCGGCGTCCGGCGGCCTTTTTCCCGCGCACCGGACGAGTTCGTGACTTTTTGCGCAAGTTCAGGGATGCCCCATCGAGAGGCAGCCGGAGCCGATTGTTCCCCGGTCTGATGTCGATCTCGGAGACGTTGAGATCCTCTCTAACCGATTGAGCAGGTTTCCGATCTCTGTTCGTGAAGAAGGCTTTACCTTTAAAGCCGAGCGGTTTCCCTCCTGGTCTACCGTTCTGTGTCGGCGAATCTGCATACCGACCGAACAGAGGGACGAGTTTCGCAGCCGCCGCGATGTCTTCATCCGCGTGGAAGAACGCTTTCTCAACACCTATACGCTCGTTCAGGTAGAAAAACTCCGCTGCGTTCCCACAGGGGATAGCGTTGTTCGGGAAAGTGCATGTCTGGCTGAGCTGGTCGAACACGGTCAAATTCCCGCAGATGAACGAGTATTTTTCCACCTTGAGGCGATCGCCTCTCTGAACTGGATTGCAGACATGGAACACTCGACAATCGTTGTCCGCATCGGCGTAGTATCCGTAGGCCATGGGACACTGAAACGATGTTCTTATCGGGCCCAAGAGCAGCTCGGCACCTGCGGGTAGCTGCAAAGTGCTCTGGCTCGAGGCACAGCCGATATAGAAGCCTACTGTGAAAGAAGAGATCGATTAGAACTCACGGTAATCGAGATCGGTAACGATCAGGTCTGGAACAGCAGATCATTGCAAACATGAAAGAAAGTCTCATCTCGTCGTACCGATGAGTAAAAGTGGATGAGTGTCCATTCCGAGAGTCAGCTTCGAACTCGATCACTCGCTGGGTGGCCTATGTATGGATAGTCATCACTAGAACGTATGAGATTTATATGTTGCCGGCGAAGCGGAGAGTGAAATTCTTAATAACCTCCACTCCAATTCCGCTGTAATCATCTTGGAAACGATGCTAGTTATGCTTCATGCTGATTCAACTAGTCTTCCCACAGAAAGTTTCACTGAACGAATCAGAAAGTGGGAGCAATGTACCGTACGCCTAACGGTTTCCATAATTGAAGACTTTCCGGTCGAAAGCATGTCTATCGGAAGTGGACAAGGGTCATCGTTAGCTGTCAAGGCCTTGATTTCTCTGGCGTGATCAAAAGCACCGGATGCTCACTGGCACAACAGATTACGAAATCAAATCACTCCGGATAACGATTTGAAAATGAGGCAAATAGTAAATCGATCCAATAATAGCAAGTTTCATTCAATGGCGGCTACCCCCACGCATTTTGATCTCTCCGATGAGGTAATCGAACACAAGTCCCTCCCTGTCTAGTGCGCGCCCTCACCAAAAGCCGCGCCCTCACACGACACAGCGGGTAGATTATCCATTCGTGGAATCAAGTTCGAGCGGGTGGAATCGTTCGAGAGAAAAATTTCCATTAGTTTGACTGCGAGAAGCCGAATCGGAAATAAATCGGTTCCTGTCGGGAAGACAGCAGCGATGGGACTGAAGGATTGGAGAGGGACGATGAGAGTTGGACGAGCGCTCGAGGAGACAAAAAGATGGGAGCGGAGCCCTCCGCGAAATTGTCGGCCTTTTCCCTCCGAAACCAGAGAGCACGCTCTCCAATTTCTAGAGATCGTGCCGATGGACGCTCTCGAATCTTCCTCGTGATATCGTGATTCGAGTGAGATCGGCGGAACGTCAGATAGCGAGAGGACGGGGAATCAGGCTATCTCGAGGACCCTCGACACATCTCGACAAGACCATTCTCTATCGAGAGTCCCGATTGCGCCGAAACGAGGGGTTGAGCGAGGGTCTTAGGACGCAGAGTGAGGAACGGAGTTCTGACACAAGTGGCCGCCGAGGTCGTCGTCCTATGACCAGCTAGCGGCTCGCAGAGGGCTCGCAGAGGGCTCTCATCGGGCTAGCGAGGGATTCCTCTCCTTCAAGTAGCAATTTCACGGCGGGCTCGTCCCGCTCACCCAGGTACAACTGAGCTGCCCCCACAACGACATCCCTTCGACTCGCCCGGGCCGGCGACCTTCGGTGTCCCTGCGCCAGCCACACATCTGTGAATTCCAGCGATCTCCTTCGTATGGGAATCGCCATAATTAAATGCGCCAGAAGAAACAGCCTTAGGCCTTATAAATCTTGCGAGCTGAAACTCATAAATTTATGTGTGCCCCCTAGAAGCTCCCACCGACCAAATCCCAGTCCCTCGATGAGAACCCCGGACGACTCTAGAATTCTGATGCTCGGCGTCCGCTCCGGATCCCGTCAGGTCCTCCAGCCGACAGCAACAGTACGCTGCGGGAGGGATTCTCCAACGAGAATGAATTGACTTCTAAGATGGGACGAGACGACGGAACTATCCATGGGCTCGAGCAACACATCCCATTAATGAGGATCGTACAGCCTGTACTCTGCGACAAGCTCAACAACCGCTAATCAGATTTGCGGTTGATGATCATCCTCCGGAGCGTGAGGAGTCCTGTGTCTCAAACAGATACTGAGCTCATGAGCGCCTACGCCCCGATCTTAGGACTTAATTGTTCGAGAGCGAAATTCCGCGAATCATAGATATCATTTAATCGACATCGCGCACATCGGGAAAATATCGACGGAAGGGGGACGCTCACCGCTTCTCACGAAATCTCACGGAGAGAAAAGCCCATCGAGGGTTGGTTCTCGGAGAAAGTTCTGAGAAAATTGATGGATTCAGCCTCCTCCGACGTCTTCGCAAAGTCCCAATCGATTTGAAATACGCTGATGGTCCGCGCCCTCCTCGAGAGCTCTAGTAGCTGCACAAAGGCGTTTGAGGGAAGCTGTCGGAGCTTTTCCATCTATCGCAGACTCACTCACTGGACGCCAGTGCGCGTGACTATGGTTTAGGAAGAGCTACAAATAGCTCCTCCTGGACCCCAAAGCTTTCTGCGAAGCAGAAAATGGCTAAACAAAACGTCGTTGAGAAAAAACATTCCGATAGATCGTTTCCAGCTAGATTAACCTGTGTAAACTGAAGATGCGCGTGAGCTGACACGAACCGTCGGCGAGAGCCTTCAATGGGATAAGCATCAGCGTCAAGAACACTTGAGCCTTCACGCGATCAGAAAATGTTAGTCAAAGAAAAAAGTCCAATCTTAGTAAGGAGCTTTTTGGAGAATATTCCAGAATTAAACGGCGAGCGATGATTTCCGCGGTGAAGTTTCGATTCGGGATTCTAGGATGATTCCGATCGGGGAACGTCGAAAGTCGGATGAGAATCGGCCAGCGAACCCTTGGTCGGACGTGTCGACGCCTCACTGAAGCGTGATATCACCAGTGACCGTTTTGTACCTACGTCGGCCGTCAGAGTCTCACAGGAGGTCCACTCATCGCGGGGAGAATGTCGAAGTGAGGCCGGCAGGCAGGCGAGAGCGGGCAGCAGACGCGAGTAAGGAGTGTGGATCGTTTTTAGACGAATGTCTCTCGGATCTTCCCTCCAGCACTCACTTTAGTGGAGCTAAAAATTGCACGGGATTCCCGAGAGCCGAGTATATAGCTGCCAGAAAAACGGGATCGCTCTCAGTCAGCCTGTCACGTTTTTCGATTAAACTCTACCCGTATAGAGACTTTCGTTTGTTTCGACTGAACGCTGGACTTTAGGCAAGTCTCCTGGTTTTTCTGACATTCCACCACAGGATTTCCCTCGAGCGACCTCTCAAGCTCTGACCCAAATCTCGTTGGAATTCCGTTCCTGAGAGAGTACCTAGTTCCTGTGAGACAAGAAAGTCCGTGAAGTTGGCTTTATCGCCGAACAGATTCTCCTACAGAATATCTGTTCGCAACACTTTCTACGCGTCGTTTTGGCGGTAGCACGCGTACCGGTGACGCACGGTTCCCTAGCCGAATCTAGACAGATCCAGAGAGAGATTCCGATCTTCTTCTGCGAGGGCCATAGCGAGTGTACCCTTGTTTAAAGCTATTTCGAACAGATCGGACGTATTTGAGCCAAAGAAATCGGTTCAGCTCAACGTGTCACGCCAATATGCGACGTTTATGTATTTTTGCCCGATACCCGCTCCCAGCTGTCTCGAATGAGATTGTCTCGGTCTGCGAATGGAAGGAAACGGTTTCCAGCTGCGTCGCGCTACCGAGTTTTTGATGAAGGGGGAATTCTCGCTGAATGTTTCTGCGGAACTCTTGGAGCCGCTCGGTGCGGGAAAGTTGTGATTATCCTTCGGAACACCATCAGGAAACTTCTCTCTTGTCAGTCGGAGGAAGCAGTATGGCGAACTTTCGGTGCACGGAGAATCCTAATTTTCTCTAAATATTCCTCACGATCGCTAGGTAGGAGACAAAGTTCGAGCTGTCGACTCTTCTGGGGAAGCTTTTCTCCCGAACCCATCGGGCAGCTGACATTAATCAACTGTATACCCTTGACACTTGTTTGCAAACTAAGCTTGTCATTTCCTCCTTATCGCCAACTTCTTCTTGTCTGGGTATCTAGCGGTTGCGGCGACCGCAGGAAGAATCGATAAAACAGACATCCAAGAACTCCACTCAAGCGGGAATTTCGAAAACACAAATTTTCATTCTTCCGCGTGCTGGACTACGGGAGATCTCACTATGAAGCGAAATCGCGGCAAACTTTCGATTCCGTTGATGGCCAAGTTTTTTCCCATTCGAAACTCTCGAGGATCCATCGCAACCTGGTGCCTTCCACTCTGACACTGCACAGGCTGCAATTCGATTTTGACAGAGATGGACCACGTCACCCAGATCCGTGGGCCGACGCCGAGCGGTGCGACCGAACAGCGGGATGCTTCTCGGACTTCAATAGCCTTTGCGAGTCGTCGGGTAGCATCTATTAATAAAATAGATCAAGCGTCACCGTGCAGGGCTCTCCCTCATCTAAGACGTTGATTAGGACTTGGGAGAACTTTTTCCTCTACGGATCCTCCCTTACTTCCGTCGAAGAGTATTGAACGCTCCACGGAACAAAGCAATCTGCCGGAGTTGACTTCCCCGTCCGCAATTATACTGTGATATCTGAGTGAGGCTTTAGGCGAAGGAGTACTCACGAAGTTTATTTACTATCGATTTCATTTTTCTTCAATTTATTTGTCGCTGGTATCCATCGATGTATTTTTTGGTGGTTATGCGGTTATTATGCTGTATTGCAGGCGCGAATGGTCAAGCATTCCGGATGAAGATCACGACGCATCTTCTCGACGTTCTTCCGCTCGGCTCATTGAAAACCTGTTGTTCACCTTGAACCCTCGTCTGGCGAAAAGGGAAATGTAGGGGCAAAAATGCTGTGGTTGTGAGAGAACTCGAAGCTTATTTGTCATTGTTGCTAAACTACAAGAGGAGTGAAAGATGAATAGATTTGATTCCAATTTTTTCCGCGGATAGATGATGCCCGGTGAGCACGATTGGCGAACGCGTAATCCCGCGGGATAAGATGGCGACACTTACCCGGAACGATAATTTCAGTCTATCTCCGCTCGTCCAGCGACAAGCTCACTTCTCAACCCCGATTTCTAGGGGACCGGCGGCTCGTGAGCGTGAGGTTGTTTAAAACCCGCATAGGCTTTGAATGCGCGATGGCTTATCGCAAGCATTCTTCTGAGAGCGAGCGGGGAGCACAAGACGCCCCAAGAGAGGCATGGAGTCTGCCCAAGCTGCCCGAATCATTTTTGGATCGGGATCGATTGGACGCTCAGAAAGCCCGCGTCGCGAATCATCTGTCTGTTTCTGCTTTCATGAGAATGTCCTGTGTCGCGAGGAACTCACAATGGGCGTCAGAGAAAACCTTCTTCAACAATCCGGAGAGCTTCCTGGAGATTCTTCTCTCGGGATGGTTTTCGTTTTTTCGTCCCCCTCGGCAAAACGGTAGAATCTTGAGACTCCGAAATATGCTGGTATACGCTCGATCGAGATGAAGAATCGTTTGGGTTTTGGAATCCGTTGTACACAAAATATTAGTTATTTATTTATTCATCCATCCACACGGTGAAGCACCACTTGGGTCTATCTCACAATTGATCGGAGCTCCGTTGTCGAGATGCTCTTCGTCGTCTCACTCCTTTGATGCGCCTCTCCGTGTTTCTGATGATAACGGGCTCGGATCGCGGTTCAAAATCATATTCGGCTGCTCCGACTCGCTCTTCTGAACCAGGTTGAGAATCGAATTGCTGTACGGAGTCAGATTGTGCTTCGAAGTGCTGTACATAGTCAGACTGCGGTTCGGATGGGTCTGCGAAATCCGATTGCGGATCGAATCGATGTGCGAAATCAGATTGCGATTCGGACTCCTGTGCGAAGTCTGACTGTTGTCCGGAGCTCTGCTCAACCTCCTGATACTCCTGTCCGTCGCTCCTGCCCTCTTCTGTCGGCTTCTGATCAAATAAGAAATGATCGTACCGTTCGGTCGTATACGGAGCTGCGCGCTCGATATCCCCTTCATAATGAAGGTTATGCGGACTCCCGATGCGCTCGTTGACATACGAGAAGTACGTCGCGTATTCACAAGGGACCGAGTCCTCGGGATATCGGCACGTTAAACTGAGCTGGTCGAAGATGGTGTGGTTGCCACACACGAACGAGTAGTGCTGGACTCCTTGGCCGAGTTGCGTGCAGAGGTGGTAAACTCGGCAGTGATGCTCCTCGTCTGCGAAGTATCCCGCCCGACCGCTGCACGAAAACGATGTCTCCATGTGATCCAGGAGATATTCAGCTCCACTAGGGAGGTTCATGAGTCTCCCGAAAGCAGCTCCTGGAACGACGCAGAATTTACTTCCAATCAAGAAATTATTCACGCAAACGATTTGAAACCTCACGCCACAAAATATCCTTGTTTAGTGATTTCTGCGGACGAGCACTCCCGATCCCCCGCTCATTTAGAACACTCGACACGAAGCGCGGAGTCAAGCCGCCGCTCAAGGCGTTTTGCGCCGAGGAAAACAACTGACCGGCAATGAGCGCCAACAAGGCGACTGAAGACTTCATCTCGATGACAAGCTGAGTGACAGTCGATCTTGACACGGAAGCTTTTTGTAGTTGAGCGGTGAGATGACTTTACAGGAGAGGAGTCTGGGGTGAATTACGAGAAAGCCCCTCACCTGATACTAGTTTGACAGAACGTTTGTCACCACCGAAACTTTTCCTAAATGGTCCCTCCGACTCGGAGAAAAACTTCAATTTCATTTCTGGGCTTCTGAACGCCGAAACCCATGAGAACCTGCGTGGTGGGCGTCCAATCCCCTTCTATTTGACTTTAGCAATTCAAATCTCATCCCGACCCGTGGAAACGATTGTCTACCGAAACGTTTGTATGTCCTTTGTTTGTTTATGCTCTTCACTTGAATTACGTGGGAATCTGATTTACGCCTTCCGCCTGGACGCTGTTTCCGTGCAGGCGGGCGGGAAGGGAGGTACGCGTGAGGCTTGGTGTTAGGTGATTTTTATTGAGAGGTGATCAACGTCTTGTTTACAAGATCGCCCCAGCCGCGTCACATCATGATTTCTGTGAAGACGTAGATTATGGTGATGCGTGATTTTCTCCAGAACGTGGCCGAGGAGCATATACAGCTCTTGCGGATGTACCGAACATACCTAAAGACGCGAGTCATGCGGCGACCTTTGTGCGCAAACGAGTCCACTTAGAGCATCAATGAGGATCGCTGATGAGAGCAGTTCGCTCTCATACTTTCCAAACGCGCCTCAAATGGATAGGTGATCAAGGTACGGGGTACTCAATGAGCTACGGAAGCGTCTCGCTCTATCAAGAGTAATGTTTTGCAAAGAGGGCTCAGGATTGAAGGGGGGGATTTCGCGCATGAGTGTTGCTCGAGCGGGGATAGATCCAAGCACAGGGTCACCGCCCGCATCGTATTTATGTTCTGCGACTCCGTGACACCCTTGACTCTCCTCGAGTAAGTGTGGTGAGGATCGTTCATGGATCTGTCGTCAATCCTGGTTCTGTCTCAGAAGGCTCTCTCTGGATTTCCAACATTCAGACTTCTATCTAAGGACTCATTGTACTCAGCGGCTCCTGTCTTGTGTGTTCTCGTGAGGCCCCGATGAATGGTGATCCGCATGTGCTGCACACTTCAAGCTAGACAAAAGAGCGTGGGAAGCATTAGAGTTCTGGCTGCAGTAGGAACCACCTGAATTATTATCGCAGGTGGCGAGGGTCCTTTCTCGAATGGAGAACGACGGGGGATTCTCTCTGACGTATACAGCTTCACCTCCTGATCTATTCAGGTGACTCGGAGCGAAGTAGGATTTGTATCCAGGACTATTGAAAATGCACTCCTGATCCTCCTTCAGCCAAGTCTCTGTGAGAACAATCTCGAGAGTCTCCTCCTCTAATAATATCAAAAGGAGTTTATTCAATTATTAGTAATGAATTCGCTGATGAGCACTGTAAGTCGAGACCGCGGGAGCGCGGAAATCATGTAATCCTTGGAGGCTTCAATCGCGCTTCCCCAATTGAGCAGCTAGTGCCTCTCGTAGAACTCTCCGCCGCCAGATATAATGTGTTTGTACTTGGTATTCGAGCCTCGCGGACTCTGGTAAGCCCTCGCCAATCTCGTGTTTGTTCAAGTTTGCCAGAGAGATTTGCCACGACAACAAACGTTGTAAGCCGTCGAGGAGGCGGGCGTTTCCTCCTGCAATTACTGCTCTCGAGAGCCACTGACCAACAAATATACGTCGACGACACACACGTTCGGGGGCTGGTGAGCAAGCACTTACTTCCAGTGTACTCGACGCGGAGAAACGCCGAAAACTCGCATTCGAATTCAGTTCTCGCAGATCCGAACTCACTGCTTCGTGAAGCGCCAACTCACAGAGAGGACCCTTCTTTATAGTAGCTCGCTCCGAAAGATTTCGAGTCTTCTAAGTCGAGTCCTAGGCGTGATTCGCGGTCGTACGTCTCCACCTGGCAGCACAGCTGTTCTCGAAGTTTTTGACCGCAGAGAACCAGAGTGAGACGCATGTTGAAACGACGGAAAACCGGGCCCCGACTCCCGTGACGATTTCGGGTGCAATTTTTCTCCCGGAGCTCCATAATAATCGCTGTGACCGACGTTGGACTCTTCGTCGCAGCCGCCCTCTTGGATTTCGTCCTCGTTTCGTCGACGGCCCCGTCGTCATCCTCGCAGTTTCCCTAATTCTCGTGAAGACCATTATTCATAGGCAACCGCGGTGCTCTGGTGGGCGACTTCATTTCTCAAGCTGCGCTACGGCAAACAACAACCATGGCGACGTCATGTGGCTTACGGGTTTCATGTCACTCCCACGCGGGCCCTCGGCTCTCGTTTTTCATTTTTCGCCGACGTCGCCGTTTCCGATGAATGATTTTATCGAGAATGATCGACCGACTGATTGATGGGCGGGCGGGCAGGCAGGCTGTCGACAAGCTGGTCGCGGCACCCGGTGGTAGCGTCCGATGTCGCACGCGAGTTGTCTCCTCCGGGAAACTCAATAAACTCTCGGCAACGGGACTGCGCGTTATATGAGTCCGGAGCAATCGTGTCAGATCGGATTCGACGCTAGTGAAAATGAACGCTTCCTGTAGACGGAGTAAACGATTCTATTGGCCCAACGATATCAGGTCGCCCGTGGGCAACTCGGTAGGTAACTGGGTCGCTCGCCTGGTCCGTCCGACTAGCTTGGTCGCAGGTGCCGCCGAATCTGGAAATCCGAAACAAGTTGTTCGTGCCGGAGGCAAGTTCCGAGTGTCGGTAACTGTTCTGGAAAAAGCCGACCGAGTTGGAGCTTCTCATCGGCTCGAGTCCTTCCGAGTGCGGGAAACCGGCAGAACCGGTAGGATGGCGGATTTTCGAGCTCAGAATCGACCCGGTGAGATCCGCCAGTTTTTCCGACGGCTTTCTTGGAGACGATCGAGAAACGTCGTCACTTTCCGAGCGATCATCGCAGATTTTCGCAGAGCGGACCAAGGGGAAAAGTAGAGGCAGGGGCATTGGATTCTCCGGCGCTTGGGATGAGATTCGAAAAGTTTCCCTTCGGACTCTGCGGATCGCGACTCTCACAATAGGTGGGGACCGGAGCGGTCAGAGTAGCAATTCGAATGGCAAAAAAGAAACGTGGCTGTGGAAAGCGAGTGAGTCTTCTCATTCAAATGAGGAGGTAGATAAACTCTCACGGTTTCGTACTAATGGAACTCCTCAGCCCCCATTGCTTGAGTCGGCGGAAAGCCAAAAAGACCTCTCGCCACGAAAGCTCATCCGTCCTAATGACCGGTTTAATTACAGCGGATTGGGGCGACGACGGGTCAGACGGCGGGTCGGGCGATCCGTCGCTCCGAATCGTCTATAGCTCTCACTTACTCGGGTCGTTTTTGCCTTTGGCGGAGTAATCCACGAGTACGTAGACGTCCGGACCGGATGAGCAATTCCATTCGTATCTTCGCTTTGGGTCGGACGGACACAGAGCCTCCCTCGCTGGAACTTTCCGTTCATTGCGACGAGTTTGAAACTCCGCTCTCCGCTTCTGGCCGCCGATCCGGCCAAACGAAGTGAATAGACGTCGTGGACGAGCGGGAGGACGGGGAAGGATTGATGCTGCTTCAACGATTCGACGGACGTACAATTGATTGAATGGTTCCGGCCTCGGACGACCTAGAGCTAGAGACCGGGAGCGGAGACGGGGCCGCGTTTGCTCCTTGTATCGACGGGCTCATCATCTTGCTGTAGTACTCGCGAGTAGGAGTCCGATGACGGGAGAGCATCGTTCTCGGGAGAAGTTTCTGCCCCGATGTTCAATCGCGAGCGGTGGCTTCATCCTCCTCGTCTACTCCTCGTTGCGCTTCTATTGTTGTTGTCTGGATACAAACCAGACAAGGGTTACGGAACTCCTGCCCACACAGGTGTGGGCGGCGTGAAGGCATTCAACGCACTGACAAAAACGTACCGGACGGGGGGCCCGCAACCCGATTCACGCCCCGTAACAGGACGTCATAGCCATTTTGGCGCGGCCGGGGGCGGGAGACGCGGTGTGGGAGTTGCGCAATACCGACCGATGCTCCGCAAGAGCCTCTCGCGGACATTCCCATCGACGGGTTATCCACTCGCCGAGATGGCGATAATTTTTTCTGCTCCGATGGAATGAGGAAACCACAAGCTTTCAGACGACTGAGAGAATCAACAATCTGATCTCGTGTTTCGGGCTGGGGAGCGATCCTCTTACGGCTCACAAAGAGAAAGATTGGGAGTGCAAGACATCGATGGGTTAGGCTTTCGCCGTGTTTACTGCAGGCGTGCTCCCGGGCAGCGGAGTAATATTAGCTCGCGACGTCCGATTTCGTGGTAAATCGAGACCCCAGCAGACAGATTGAGAGCATCTTGCGCTTTCCTGCTCTGCTGTACGGCTTGCGAGAAGCAGAAGTCAAGTTTGTCTGGCTCGGTCAGAGTTACAACAAAGCTGTACTGACGAGCAGACTCAGCCAATAGCCGCTTCATTTTCACGGGATCATCGAGACGCCGTCGAGTGAACTTTCATAACCACACCCACCATGCACGGCCATGCCTCGATGCGCATCAAGGTCATTCGGCTTCACTCGACCGACAGCTCACTCAATTAGCGGCATTCATCAGAGACTCTCGGAAGAAGCTGGAAGCCGCAAAGGGTAACGTCAGCGATGCCAAGGAATCGCTTTTCTCTACCGCGGATCGAGACGCGATTCTCTGCTCCTCGAGGAGGACTCTTCGGCCGAGTGAGCGAAAATTCATTCCGTCTCGAGCGTCACAATGAGTCAATCGATGGGCGATAATCATACCAAAATCAATTTTTAGCTCGTTCGGACGAGCTGCCCATCCGGATACAATGCGTCAAAAGCTTCTATCGTGACAATTTTCTTTGTGCTTTCTGTTGACTTTGAACAGAAAATCTCCTGTATGACCCTCGGACCAAATGATCTTTTGTGTAATCTTTTTCAAACGAAAAGGAGGATCATCCACGGGAGCTTCTGTGAAACCTCTTCA